TCACAGCCAGTCAGTGGTGAGGGGTAGAGGCAGTGGCCATCTTGCCCATAGCCCTTTGATTAGGCAGCCCTCCCTTCCCCACCCCACAGGGCTGCTGCAGTTAACTGAGGACTGCTGGCTCCTTCTGAGAAGCCAGCATTTTCTTTTCTGTAAGTTTTCCTCCCCAGGGGATTTCATGGATATTGCCCAGATTTCAAAGGATCTGTGAAATCGCAAATTTGCGAGGTCCCTAGTTATAGAGTGCTGATTTGTTGATGGGTTCTTCCAGTTTAATTTCCTTCCCAGTCTGCTGTGAGTGTTCAAAATATAATTTGAATTATCACTTAAATATTTGCATTTCTCCCATATTTTCTAAAGACTTAAGAAATTCATGATTGAAATGAGAATTTCTTCTTTCCATTCCATCTTCCTACACTGCACTGGTAACACTGAATTTGTGATTTAGTCTCAATGGTGATGGGGTGATGTCATGAAACTGGATTATGAAGTCCATTCTTGGTCCATGACCATGCAAGAAAGAGCTGTTAAACATCACTAATACATGAAATGATAGCCAAGGAAAGCAGAAAATGAGCATCCAAATACACTTTTATTTCATATTCTTTCTCCTGTTAGTTAATTTTCCTCAGTGTGAAAGTCACTGTTTGAATATAATGGTACTTTGGCATAAAGACTCTTTTAACTTTGTTCATTTTTTGATATCTTACTGTTTCCAGGTGTTTAAGCATTGCCATTTAAACTATTTTGAGATGCAAAAATTTTATTCTGTGGATGCCATCTATTGAGCTACCATGATCACAATAGCTACCTTTTGATAGTTCTTTCTTCCTCTCCAAGCATGCTGTCTTACAAAATACAGTTGTTCTCATTTTGGCATATTACTTCATTAAAATCTCTGTCCATTCAGTATTGTCCACTGGAACAAACTCATCAACGAACTATCACTGGGAACCCAAATATTCTCATGGTTCAGGATGAAAATCACACTTTTCCATAAATATTGTCAGTTTTTTCTTTTTATAGTGAGCATAAGTGCATGCAGTGTTTACTAAAAAAAAAGAAAAACAGGCTCCTACTCAGGGCATCTTTCCTTTTTAATCAGGGCAAGAAAAAATAAAGGCTGAGGGCCAAGTTTGTTTCCTGTATTTTATACTAATGTATGACATTTCCATTTCAATTAAGCTTTGTTTTGAACCACCTTTGCACAAGAAGGAACTACTGTACATGTGCAAAGCACTGAAAAGTCTGGCCCCCTTTATGTATGTGTGTGAGGACTCTAATAAGGAACCTTACAGAATCTGGAAGGGACTAGATGGTGCTATGATACCAAAAGAGTGGCAGTATTCAGAGGAGCTGAGTACGTGTGGATCTGAGGACCCTGTCCCCACTTTGGGAAGAGGCCTGTCACCTGAAATGTGTAAAACTTTGTGTCCATCATCTTAGGCACCTCCTGGCAAACAGTGCCTATGGCACTATTACAATTTTATGTATCACTTTTCAGTAGATGATGCTGATGATATAATGTTTACTTTTCTAACACTTAACTGTTCTAGGAAGCGTCAGGAGTCCCTATTGGGCTCTACAAACTCACAGTTGAGGACAGTCCCTGACTCGAAGAGGTTACAATCTGCTATGGATAGATAACACAAAGCAGCTTCCAAGAAACACAGAACAGCTTCTTCCCAGTGTTCCCTTTGTATAACAAACAGCCTCTTTCTGGGCTGGGGGGAGCCTACAAACTATGAAGGATCTGGAGGCTTTCAGTCAGGCTCCAGGGTAAAGATCTTAGGATCTTCCCCAGGGTAAAGATCTTAGGTTCATCCTGGGTGGGAAAGTGGAAGGAATAGCATGCATGTGCTCCTAATACATACTGAAAGTCATGCTCAGTTTCCTAGAACTGTTGCTGTTGCACTGTAAGTGAATCCTTTGCTGGTTTGATATCCAAATTCTTCTTCTCTATTCTCTCTTTCTACATTAGACACATTTCTGTAATTCTCTTTTAACGTGAAGAACTGCTTTTTTTTCCCCCCCGTCCTGCTAGCTGAGGCAAATCACAGTAGAAATCAATACCTAACATAAGCAATATGTCAAAAGCATTAAACAAATATATGTCATAAAGCAAGTGGGGAGTTGAATAAAAAGCACTAGCTGGAAGCATTCACATTATATCTGCTGCTTAGTTTTGTTTTGTAAATGGAAAGGTGAGCTTTGTTTTAAGTAAATACCCCTACCCCCAAAAAGGCTCAAGACTATGATAGACTTCTGTAAATCGGATTGTTCATTAATTCCTTTGAAAAAATATATTTTCAAAAATCTATCAAAGACCTAATTTTGGTACCTGTATTTCTTTAGGAAATAATAATACCACAATCAACAAAACACAGCAGAAAGCATTTGATGTTTCTGATACAGTAGTTATTTCTGATACAGAAATATTTAAAAAAAAAACAAAACTTTCTTGGTTTTGAGGCATGTGGAATTAAAAAAAAGTTGTTATGGGATATTTTGACAAAACTGGAAAACAAAACTGTAAGTTTCATAACCAACATTTTGGGCATTAGTTAGTTCCATTTTTGGCACTTACAGCACAACTTGCTCAAGGCTCCCATGTACTCTAAGAACTGGGTGATCAGCTCCCTCAGCCCCAGATGCACCCTGGCCACAAGTTCAGATGGCATGATGGGCGCCAGCTACAAAAATATTACATGAAATATGTGTAATAATTTTGTGGCTTATTCCTTGCTTTATTGCATCATTAATTGCATGAACATGTAGCCTGGTTACTATTTAAGGCTGATTAATTAACTGATTAATCATGTCTTAAAGTGTACCATCTGCCAGGGGCCTCAGTCCTCCACACAGCTGCTGAGTATGTGGAATAAGCAAGGCTCTGGCTGGGCAGGTACATGAATCTGTATGGATGAACCCGAGCACAAATCCAAAAATTGTGGCCCAGCAAAATCAGGAGGAAAAGGGCCTTCCCATGTTTCAGCCCCTAAAATTTGAGCAGCTAGGACCCTCACCTCAGAAGCAAGAAACTCGGGCCACTGACAGACATGCATCTCCCTGTTGTAAGTCATGGTGCTTTGCAGGAAGCGCCATGAGTTACAGCATACCTCCATCATCCAACAGGCATTTACTGTTGGATCCAGAGAGTTGGGGGATTGAGCTCTGGTTTGGGGTATTTGTGTCTCTGCAGCTGCTCTCCCCTAGCTCCCCCAACCCCACTCTGCCACCTCCCTAGCTCTGGTGCTGGCTTCAGAATGGGAGAAGAAGGGAGGGGAGGGAGTTCCATTTAGGGTTTGTCCAGCCTGCGATGGAGGGTGGGGTGGGTGGATTGGAGTCCGCCCCCCCTTGGGGCCCCACCTTCCATCCACACCCTCCAGCAGTCTGGGAAAACCCCAGATAGAACTCCTTCCCCTCCCCTCCCATTCTGAAGACAGTACCTGCTCCTGCCATGCGCTGACAGACATTAATGAAGGCGCTCTGGTTTGGAGTGCCTTCATCTGAACACTCATATAATGCACAGCCATGCACGCCTATAAGAGCATGGCCATAGAGTGCTTTCAAGGGGCTGGTCACACAATAACTTCTGTGTGCACCATCAGTTTCCAGGCTCCCCATACCTACTAAGGCTTTGAACTTGCAGTTCTCACACTTCTTAACACAGTGCTCTAACTACAAGGTGATAGGTTAACTATTACCCAGTTCCTCCCTAGCCCTTGTCTCCAAGGTTTCTCTCACTTCTTTTCTCTCCAGCAACTTAGGGCGCTTGTACACATGAGTGGGGTTTAATTCCCCTAAATTGAAATGGTGGGTCACAATTAAAAACCCACAAATTAAAAACCCACTGTTTCAATTTAGGGGCTTCCATCAGAGTGATGGCTGACAGTTAGCTCCTTCCTTCCCCCGCTGCTGGGGGAAGGCTCCTCCAGGGGAGGGAAATGCAGCAAGGGGCTCAACACTCTTTTTTTTCCCCCAGCAGAACCTGCCCACCTCTCCTGCAGCTGTGGGGGGAGCAAGCTTCCAGCAGCCCCTGAACTGTGGGGGGTCCCAGAACTTCCCTCCATGGCAGCAGCACCCCCTGGGCAGCACCTGCCCACTAGCAATCTGCCTGGGCAGCCTTAGGGGATGCCACCACTGTGGAGGGAAGGACCAGGCCCCCCACAGTTCAGGAGCCACCAGCAGCTCATTCCCTGGCCATGGAAGAAGCAGGCAAGCTCTGCAAAGAAAAGAAGAAAAAAATAAAAGAGGTTTGGACCCCTCACCACTTTCCCCCTCCCCACCACAGTGGAGCCTGTCTGCACCAGCTGGAGCCGGGTCACATGGCCTCTGGGCTGTGGGGGGACCCGGTGCTTCCCTCTGTGGTAGTGGCACCTCTTGGGGCTGCCCGGGCAGGGTGCTAACTGTGCAAGTGCTGCCCCTGCCCTCAGGCAGCACCTGGCCTGATACAACAGTATACAGGGGGCTGGAAGCCTGGATGTGCTCATGGAAGCTCAGGCTTGGTGGGCTTCCAATGCCCTGTGCACTTTCCCTGCCACCTTCGTGCTGCCTAGGACCAGCCAGGAATGGGCTAGCTTGCCCCTGGGGCAGTGTGGGAAGGTGGTAGGAGGGTTGCTGGGTATACTGGTGGCTGGAGAAGGTGCCAGGGATAGTGCATGGGGTGCTGGAAGCCCACCAAGCTCAAGCATCCATGATCCCACCCAGGCTTCCAGCACCCCATGCACAATCTCTGGTGCCTTTTCTGGCCCCCAGACATGTACATGTGCACAATTTTTTTACCCACAATGGGACAATTTCCCTGATCAAACTAAAATACATCAGAGGTGGTCTAAGTTGCCATGCTCAAATACATTTTTACATGAAGAAAAATCATGCACATATACATGGTGATGCCGTTATGTTAGACAAATGACAGTTTCTCATCATTTTTTGTCACGTGTACATGGCCCCACCATCACATGTACAAGCTCCTATAGTTTGGCTTCAATTTTCCAAGCTGTTGTATCACATACTCTATTTCAAATTCCTGACTGTAGCTTTAGTTTCTGAATAAGGTAATGCGCCAAAAAAAAAAAAAAAGGGTCAGTTCTGCTGTGCAGAAATGGATCAGCGTTAGAGAGCATTTTTTCAACAGCACAGTATTGGATAGAAGTGGTGCCCCAGAATCTGAGTAGATCAAAACATACCCAGTTGCAGGAAACTAATTGGTCCCCAGTTGCCAATACGGTGAAGTATTACTGTGGCAGATACACAGCTGAACAAACTCGTTTGGTATTGATTTTCCTTGAGGTTAAATATTCTTTGGAATGTAATTCCTCAATCTAAACACGCATAATACTTGCCTGGCATCACAGAGGTATACTGTTGTGTTGCCAAGTGGTTAGCACGCTCAGAACTGAGAAGTGGGTTGTCTCTGGTAGGGGACATTATTAGAGGATTATATTATCTTGGCCTGTTTTTATTCATGCACATGCAATTTCTGCATATAGACTTTGAAAAGAATGGATTTTAGCAGCAAAGCAGCACAATTCAGGCTTCTGAATAGAGAATCTGCCTCCAGGGTATTTGTTGTTTCCTCTCCTTGGAGTTTCCTTATACTTTGTAGCCCAGATGTTTCCCTTTGTAATATTTAGCTTCAAATTGAAAGCTAATTCAGTTCTTTTGTCTATGTACTATTCCCTGAGGACAGACCCTTCACTTGTAGCAGAGCCATTTCATCTGAGAGTGCTTTGCACCACAAAAGGGGATCTATGACAGATGACCTGCAAATGAAAATAAAGCATAGGCTCGCTGTCTTTTTTCCCCTGCCGCTTTATGTTATATAAAGGAAACCAAAAAAATGGGGCTGGGAGGTGGGGGTGTTGTATTTTGGGGGTGGTTCTTCTCATTTTACGCTAGAAATTAAGGCCTCGTCTCTCCTGGAATTCTCAGTTGGCCAATGTAGAACTGATTAGATGAAGATGTACAACACCAAGAAAATGAAGCCTGATAGATTAATAGATGTAGGGTCGGAAGGGACCTTGTAGATCTTCTAGTCCAACCCCCTGCCCTGGGCAGGAGAGAAAACTGGGCTTAAATGACCCCAGCTAGGTAAACGTCAAGCCTCCTCTTAAAGACCCCCAAGGTAGGAGCCAGCATCCCTTCCCTTGGAAGTTGGTTCCAGATCTTAGCCGACCTGACTGTGAAATAGTGCCTTCTAGTGTCTAGTCTAAATCTACTCTCTAACAACTTATGGCTGTTATTTCTTGTTACTCCAGGAGGCACTCGGGGGAACAAGGTCTCTCCCAATCCCTGCTGGCCCCTCCCTAGTAAGTTTATAGACGGCTTGATTGTCTGCAGTGGAGAACAGACATCTGAACTGGAATCCCTCCCTTAGAAGTATGGTAATTCTGGTCTTGGGAAAGCCTGACCCTGTTCCTTTGACATTCACTCCAGGCCTTGAACTGGCAGCCTGAGAGGGCATAAATTCATATTGCACAATACCAGCAAATCAGGTTGATATATTACTATGAATCTTGTTTTAATAGAGCTGCCAGCTTCTCGAGACAAATAGTTATGTGAGAACCTAGCTCCACACTGAAGCACTCTCGTGCCCCACCAGCCCCTCTGCAACACGTTAAGCCAGGTGGAGCAGCCCCAGGCTGGCAGGCTTCCCCTGGGCCCCCTTCCAGCTGGGGCTGTTCTGACCCAGCTCAATGTGCTGCGCTCCCAGGCACACGTGCAGATGCAGCACTCAGGAGCAATAAACTCTGGAGCAATAAGCTCCAGAGTTTATTCAAAAGCAATAATAGCATGTGTAGACATGCCCACTGACTATTTCTTTGCAATTTATCATGATTTCTGAAGACTAATGAAACCCAGGCTGTACTCCAAGAGGTACCCCCTCTCCAATTGAAGGGATCAAAGCAGGTGTACAAGTGCTGAGGGAGGTGTAGGGACTCTCCTCCCCCTATACAGCAGAGCCAGACCACCAATGGGGACTTAACCATATACCTTTTAATGAGAGAACAGTACTGGAAACGTAACCAGTATAAACCAGGGGGTATAGGGGACACTACAACACCCTGAGGGGGCAGGATTCAACAAACTTTAGACACTTACAATCATAGGCACATTCATCCAGTTGACAAGAGACAGGGTTAACCAAAATCTAAAACACAAACAGCAGAACAAACAATATGGGTTGGTGAAATATAAAAGGCACAAAATACAAAATGTCAAGTGACAAGGAATATAGGGCCTAGGTACCTGGAGGGGGAGATAGGAGGGAAAAAACACAATGACCCCTTTCTACTGCAACAAGAATTTCTTCCTATTATTTCACTCATCCCAAGTTACCCAAGCTGGGACTTAAACTCAGATCTCCCATGTGGTAGGCAGAAATGCTACTACACAGCCACCAGTGCTAGTACTGGGCCCAGCTAGTAGGGGTCTTGGCCTTCCTGGAGCCCCGGCCTCACATTGAGCCACCTGGCCTCTGACTGGAGGAGCTGGAAGCAGAGCTGGGAACCTCTCAGGTCACTGCTCAGATCCTTGCTGGAGCAGGGGAGCCTCTCCTGCCAGCCACACGCCATGCTGCTGAGGGTCCCACTGCTGCCTGCAGGTCCTACTTCTTCAGAGTCTTCTGGGACAACTGCTCCTGCCCTGCTGTCCCAGCTTTTGCCAGCTCTTTGAATCGCCTTCCTTGTGGTCCCCCACTGGTGTCTCCTGAGTCAGCGGCTCTGTCCCTTTTATCCCCCTCCAGGTGACCCAAGGGGCCAATCAGGGGACATGGAGGGTGAGTCTTTGGGCCCTGATTGGTGAGGAAAGGGAATCCCAAGTCCTTCAATCATCTTTTACCCCTTCAAAACTCCTGGGCTAGATCACTGCCAGCTAGCCTGTCACACTAATAAGAGTGATTTTCAGCCAGAGTGTCTTGAGATCCTTTCAGAGGTGATGCGGGTTGCCATGCAATTTTAGCACTGTTAAGTGTGCAAACATGATTTATGAGATTATAATCAACCATTTCAAACAAGAATCCACAGGGTTACGAATATTCTGGCTTCTTGTGGTCTTTCTGATTGCTTTGCAATAGAAAAACATTTGTTGTATTATTTTTCATAGAGAGGATGTGTTGTTTTCCCCTCAGACATGTTTGAAACGGCATAGGATGAAGTCTCTCCTGTGTAGAGAATTTGGTCCCTTGTTTTTAGCTGGTGTTTTGTTAACCATTATTTAACAGAATTATCCTATAAACATTTCAGATAAATGACTCTGTTAAGGATTCAGCAGTCATATCTCTTCAACATAGGGCTGAGAGAGCTTCCAAATCACATCTTAGGGGATTTGAGATTCCTTAGAAATCCTCTTGCAAAACCAGAGAAGACCATATGACATCCATGGTTATTTCAAAGGGAAAGAGGAAGTAGAATAATAATGATGTTTCCCCAACCAGAGAAGGAAAAGGAGTGCAAAATCAGTTCCCTGCTCATTTTCAGCTCACCTTTAACACCTGCTGTGTAAGTCAAATGGCCTGTTGAGATCTCCAGTCAGCTTAGAATATATTTCTCTGTGGAATAGCTTGGGTCTTTTCTTTGAAACTCTCTGTATACCTTATAAAACAAACAAACTGTGTAAGTATTTA